TTTTTTTTTTCTAAGTAAACTTGGAACTACCTCGCGGTTTCCATCTCTCTTCAAGACTTCAACCAATCGTCATAAAAATTGAATCTTTAATCTCATAGCTACATACAGATATATATAGATATAGTTTATATATATATATATGTATGTATATGGGCTTCAGCTTCGTCGGTTTTTGGTGACTACTCTTGACCAGACATTTTGCTTCTCTCTCTCTCTCTCTCTCTCTCTCTCTACCTCTCTCTCTCTCTCTCGCACGCTTAAATTGGGGGTCTGTGTGTGCTGCCGTATATGCAGAAGATAGTGGGCCCCATGTCCCCGAGCAACTCCTCCTCTGCCACTGTACGTGTTATGCAAATTCTTCCTTTCCTTGCTAGTTTTTTCAATTTTGCTCCTGAATTTGTTGATGTGTAGCTCTCTGTTGAACTTCGTCTTGATTTCTTGAGACTTGTTCTTGTAAATCGACTGTTGATTTGGTTCGGTTTGGTCATCCGAAGCTAGATTCGGTTGCTTTTCCTGGGGATGCTCTTTTTTGCTTTGTTGTTGTTGTTGTTGTTGTTGTTGTTGTTGTTGTTGTTGTTGTTTCGATCGGTGAATTTTGTTTGTTTCTTTAGCAATTGTTGAATTGGGTGTTCGAGTAGAAATGGTGTTGATTAGTCGAATGAATTATTGAGGTACGGTGAGAATAATAATGTGGGTTGTTGTGAATTGTGTATGCCTGCTGTATATGGTAATCTGCTATTGTACTCACTATCCTGAAATCGAGTTGTATGTAATTTGTGATGCACCCAAACTCCAGAACCGCAAACTGTAGTCCGTTTTATTCTGCTTCTCTGCGCATTAAAATCGAAGCACAAGCATTCTTTTGTGCCGAGGTTCCTCAAAATGATTAAGTGACTAAAGAGGGAAAGACAAAGACTGATATGCATTATGCAATTTCTGGTTAGGTCAATGGTAGTGTGTCACCATCAGAAAATGGCTTCTTTGATTCTTTCTCCCTGTTGAGTATGGAAGAATCAATCAAGGATATTATTCAGCAGCCTCCTGTCCAGGGTATTGATGATCATCTGATCGAGTTCTCTGAGGCTCTGAGAAGTGAGTTGTACTAATTATTAAGATTCGTCATGTTTCGATACTCAGCGTCTAAATAACATGTTGCTGAATAAGTTTGGTTAAATTCCGCTTTAGCTGTAGGAAAAGCACTGAGAAGGGTTACTGAAGGTAAGGCGTCTGCTCAGGCGGAGGCTGCTGAATGGAAGCGTAAGTATGAGCTGGAGAGGGCACGCAATCTGCAGTTGGAGTCAAAAGGTTATTTTTTCACTCTATTGTGTTTTGATGCTGTTGTGTTTGAATCTCATTATTAAACAGTTTCCTAGTCAAACAAAAGTACATTATGGAGCCGATTATTTGAATATCCTTTTGTTAAAGCATTCTGTCTTTGGCAGACGACTTCCTGAAATAACTGGTGTCCTCATAAATTAATCAGCGGAAGCTAAACCATAGTTGCTTTTACTTCTGACCTGAACAAGTCGGTTTATAATCTTCAAATGAATTGATTTATATCAGTTGCTGTTCTGAGGCTTTCTCTTATAATATCCAACTTAACACATGCAATCATCAAGTTTTTAGACAGAAAAAATTGGTTTTTTTTTTTTTTTTTTCCTCCTTTGCTTTGCTTTCTGAAATGTGCGCACATTTTCTTTGTCACCCTTTGTTCAGTAGGCAATAAAGTTTTCATCTGCATCCTTATTTACTGTTATTTGTTGATTTCTTTCTTCCCGCGTTCTGGTTGATGTTGTGTTTAGGAGGGAATGGCAGTAACTTCCATTTAGAGAGAGGTCAAAATGTGGAAGATAAAACTGTGTTATCAGATAATAGTAGTGATCAATGTGAGTTGTGTTGTGGGAAAGATGATATATCCGCTCAGGAGGTCCTTCGAGATGGTGAGTCTGAGCCTGCCTCCTCGGTCACTCCAAATAAGATGATGAAAAAGGTGTGCCCTTGTATCTAAAGGCATACCAGATATTATATACATGTTTGCTGATATATTTTTCTTTTTCTCTAAAAAAGCAAAACTTTTTTTGTTATTTTTCGTACGGATTATGTAGGTTGAGAATAAACAACCATGGCATTCAAATTCTTCAGAAATGAGGATGTAGCAATAATGTAATATAACCATAGACTGGAAACTAGACGGGCTTGGTATCATAATCCATGAAGAATGAGGACAATAAAACACTCGATATAGCAAATGATTTTCATGAACACTCGAGAAATATTAATTTGTGTTTGCTTTAAAAATCATATTTTTCTTGCTAAAATACTTTGTCTTATGTTGCTCCCATTGTTTTGTTAGTCAGGATGTACAGAAAAACCTTTCCTTTATCATTCTTGGCTATAGTAATTGATTTATTTTATTTAGTTATTGCTTTATATATATATAAAGAACTTCATATTTTTCAGTACCTATTCATCAGTACATGATGACTTTCACTTCATATATTTGCTATATGCCATAGCAGACTACCTTATGAATACAGAATAACAATTGGTATGTTGGTTTGTGGAGATAGGCATCATTCAAGCTGTCCTGGTACTGCAAGGGTGAAAAATGTAATCGCCACAAACATGACATTGTGTCTTTTGAGAAGGGTAATATAACTACTGCCGAGCGAAGTAGTAAGCAGGTACAAAATAATCTCTCACCTAGTTGATTAGCTCTTGCGCTTTTGTATCATCCTATTTCTCGAAACAGCTGATTTTGAACCATATGTTAGTTCTTGATACTCAAATTTTAATTTTACTGCATAAGAAAACCTTTGTCTTTTACATTTTCTTTTCAGATATCATTGAAGTGGGAATCTCCACCACAAACCGTGCTTATATTAACCAAGCCAAATTCTACATCTGTCAGGATTCTATGTTTAGAGATGGTCAGGTAGGATGCGCGATGATATGAGGATTAATTTGTTACTGCTTTTGAGGTATAATGTGCTGTTTTTACAATAACATATTTTAAAAATGTGGGTTCTTCTATGTCCTTTAAAGATGGTTGAAGGAACAGAAGAAATTAAATATATTTGTCGAGCCACGAATGAAGTCTGAGCTTCTGACGGAATCTACATACTACAACTTTGTACAAACATGGTTAGATGGTACGGTCAGTTTTCCTTGTATTACATTGAAATTGGATGCTCTTTGATTGATTGTCGATTTACCACCTTATTTTCCTGTTCTACTTTCCATAGACGTCACTCAAATTCGTTTGACAATTCTTGTCCCCAAATATCAGCTATGTCTTTTATCTGTGTAAAGCATGAAGTGCTTTTGTTGTTACTTTATATTATGGGAACCAAATTTACCTTTTGAATCATAGTTTGCTGTCCTCTGCTTTTAAATGATATATGCATTACTTCAGAGCATAAAACTAGCTCATTTGTCTCTGTTTGGGTACATTAACAATCTTTACTGCTAACTGTGCTTATTGTTTACACAGACAAGGATGTGCTCCTCCTGCATACAAAGGTTGACCTCATTGTAACTCTCGGTGGAGATGGGACTGTACTTTGGGTATGTATCCTTTTTTGGTTTTTTCTTGAGAATAAGGATGCCTCTTTTTGATTTTTTTATTTTTGAAATTTTCAATCACACATTTCTGAAAATAAGAACAAAATGACTCCCTGACAGATGGTGCCTGTCTTGATTGTTGGTGCTTAGTAGGCTTTTATTCTATGCAGACGAGGAAGCTGATACATGTAGTAGCTATATTCATCTTCCATATAGCAACCCTTTATTTCCAGTAATCGGGAAGATAACTCCTCAGATCAGCATAAGTTCATTTGACCTTGACCCTATTAGTTGCAATTGAATTAGTTTGCTTTTTAATTGACTTCCCTAAAGATGTTGTCATCCATGTGTTGCACAACATAGTTTCCTTATAAACTGTTGCGGCTTTTGTGCTGCGCCAATGTAGATAGTAGTCTTTTTCATCTTTGCTATTTTTAATCACAGGAAAAAAGTGAAAATTTCGTAGTCTGAGTGGAACTTTCAGGACCTTCTTATTCCTCACTAGCCTGTAATGTAATATGAGCTCCTTGTGGTGCTTTTGCTTAAACATTGTAATATTGGAAATTTTATCTGCTTGGTATTTGGTAATAACTTTGCTCGAGGTTTGCCAATACTATTGTGTATATCTGCTCAAACTTGGAGTGAGTGCATAGCAACAGCCTATTTCATGTTCACTTCACTCGATCGCACTTCATCGGACTCTTAACAGCAACGTGTCCGTTTTCTCTCTATTTCCTGCTAGAAACGGCCTAGATGGAACATTCCACATTCAATTTCATGAATAGTTGCCCCACCATGACTTCTGTTATAGCTAATAGATATATCACAATTTTGATCAAACAACATTTTTCATTTTAATTTTTTGTTTATTTGTTACAGGCTGCATCTATTTTCAAAGGCCCAGTACCTCCCATTGTGGCATTCTCTCTAGGCTCCCTTGGTTTCATGACCCCATTTTGTATCCTTAATTCAGCATCTTTTAGTCTATAATTTACACTCGTGGTCACAGCATATCTATCATCATCTTCGCCATTTTATTATTAATTCTCTTTAAGTATTATATTTCTTTAACTGGCCGAATCCCAGACAGTGAGCACTACCGCGAGTATCTGAACTCGATCCTGCGTGGGCCCATCGGCATCACGCTGAGGCACCGTCTGCAGTGCCATGTGGTCCGGGATGAGGCCAAAAGTGAATATGAGAATGAGGACACGATGCTTGTCTTGAATGAGGTCACGATCGACCGCGGGATGTCATCGTTCCTCACGAACCTCGAGTGCTACTGTGACGAGTCTTTTGTGACGTGTGTGCAAGGAGACGGCCTCATCCTCTCCACCACGTCCGGGAGCACAGCTTATTCACTTGCGGCTGGTGGGTCTATGGTCCATCCTCAGGTATGTTTTTTCAAGCATATTTGCTGTTGTTTTGGCCATATATGATAAATGAAGGGCACTCTCATACATGCCATCTATGAAAAAGGGAACTGTCTTTTTAGCTACTACTTTTGTTTAGATGTATTTATGGATGTATCATTTAGATATATAAATTAGTGATCATTTTTAGGCCTTTTTGATAAATTTCGTGCAACGTAGATAGTAGTAGTAAGTAATTTGTAGACTTCATTACGGCTCCAAGAAAATGTATGGGGACAATAGTTAGATATAAACGGAAGAGCCATTTTTAGTTAGCTTTATGAGATCAGATCCTTATAATCCCCATGGTTCAGAAAAAGCAAAAAAGTAAATAATTAAATAAATATGGGAAAATAAATTTACTAGTCACCGGGATCGAACCGGTGACCTCTTGATCTGCAGTCAAATGCTCTATCACTGAGCTATGGACCCCTTTGTTGGTGACCTCTAGAATAATACGATCATTGGAAGGCCCTTTTTAGAAATGAGTATCAATGGAAAGAGAATCTCGTCACATCAAATTCCTAGTCATTAGATGTTCCAAGCTGACCTTCCAAGAAAGGATTAATAGGAACAAGATCTCACTATCTCATTTGGATTGTCCTGCTGTTATATTGGATTGTCTTGCTTATACACCAATGACCGTTTTCCTTCCAAAGTTTGTTCGTTAAAACCCATACTCAAACAAGTTTCTCATATATGTACAAAGCTGATTCAAGACTGAATCACTGAACTGAGTTGATGTCGATAATTTTGATGTTGTGAAATTCCATTTCCAGTTCTGCACTGTCGAAGAATAGAACTTTTTTCTATGGTCAATCAAGTAAATGTAAATTGCTCTGTGAGGAATAAATATCGTAATATACGTCGACACAGCTAATAGCAACGCTGTTTCAAGTTTTAACCCCCAGCTTATATATATGACAATAGGTCCCGGGGATCCTTTTCACGCCAATCTGCCCCCACTCTCTGTCCTTCCGGCCACTGATACTGCCCGAGCACGTGACCCTCCGTGTGGTGGTGCCTTTCAACAGCAGGAGCCACGCTTGGGTCTCGTTTGATGGCAAAGGCCGGACACAGTTGGCACCTGGGGATGCTCTCGTCTGCAGTATGGCCCCATGGCCCGTCCCCACAGCCTGCCAGGTGGACTCCACCTGCGATTTCCTACGCAGCATACACGATGGCCTCCACTGGAACTTGAGGAAGACTCAGTCCTCAGACGGCCCTCGTGATCCTTAACGGACTTATAATTTCTACTAACTACTATTATTTACACAAAATGGAAAATTCCAGTTTTACTTGTGCTTGAGAATGTGAAGAATGAAATATAGTGTTACGTCTTTCTTGGTTCTCAAGGGTTTGGATTTCTCATCATGGGTGAGGAGAAATTGTTGGAGAAATGTGTAATTTAGTGATGTTCTAGATTTTCATTACTGATGATATTATTGGTGTTCAACTGGGTTCTTGAGTCAAATGATCAAGTATTAAATAAACATCAAGGTGGCCGAGGTTTTTAAGGCAAATTCTTCACTGATATTCAAGAATTTGTGTAAATGTACATAAATTAAACATTAAAATAATAAGGGCTTTCAAGAAAGAGCAATTTATATATTTATTAGTAAAAAAATAATAAGTGGACAAAATACAGAAAAAAAGAGGGGTAGTGGACCAACATAAAAAGCACGTAGTTCACATTTTTTTACAAAGGAAAACGTATTCACAAAATACGTTTTTCAAATAATTTTTTCAAAAGCTGTATTCAAGGAATACGGGCTTTTGATTCTTTTCCACCTTTTTTCTTTTTTCTTTTTTTTTGTCCACCACTTTTTTTTTTTTTTTTTTTTT